GGGGGGGGGGGGGAGAAATAATTATGCTGCAATTCTGGGTGAGGAACCTAAGTTACACTTTTCCCTGTACATTGTATATGTCTATTACAGGGGTCCTCAAACTTTTTAAACAGGAGGCCAGTTCACTGTCCCTCAGACCGTTGGAGGGCCGGACTATAGTTTAAAAAAAAACTATGAACAAATTCCTATGCACACTGCACATATCTTATTTTGAAGTAAAAAAACAAAACGGGAACAAATACAATATTTGTATTTGCATGTGGCCCGAGGGCCGTAGTTTGAGGACCCCTGGTCTATTATTTCTGTGTTCTCAAAAACAAGTCACGCCCTAGCCGGGTGGCTCAGTGGGTTTGGCTCAGAAGGGTCCCAGGTTTGATTCCAGTCAAGGGCATGCACCTTGGTGCAGGCTCCTCCCTGACCTGGACCCTGGTCAGGGTGTGTGCAGGAGGCAACCAATCAATGTGTTTCTCTCACATTGATATTTCTCTCTGTCTTTCCCTCTCTCTTCCACTCTCTCTAAAAATCAATGGAAAAAATATCCTCAGGTGAGGATTATAATAAATAATAATTAATAATAACAATAAAATGAATTAACTTAAAAAATCAAGTCACTAACCTGTTGGTGCTATTGCTATTGTTCTTTGTTATTCATTCAACAAATATCTACTAACTCCTCTAATATATGTTATCCCCCATATTAGGGGATGGGACTAACAAGATGAATCAGACATGTTCATTGCTCTCAAGTTGCTGGCAGTCTAGACAGAAATAGAAATCAATGGTAGCTGTGCAATGTGATAAGTGCTGTGACAGAATGGACCACAGGGTGCCGTGAGGGCCTAGAGGAAAAGATCTAACTCGGGAGGTGGGTGGTTAGGAAAAAGTTACTCCAAAAAATATTCCTTGAGCTGATTAAGATAGGGTTTGAATCCCAACTCTATCACTTCTCTGAGAATGAAGTGAATTCACTCAATCTCTCCTACTTAGTCTTAATGGCCCTTAAAGGGTTGTCCTGAGAATGAAATGAGATAATGCATATGTAAGAGCCATGGGAGCTTGGTAGCTCACTTAAATTCTCTGGGCCTCAATTTTACTCATCTGAGAAATGGAGCCAAGAGAATGTATGTGTCCAGCCATGTCCTTAGGATGTTATAAGGCTCAAGACAGATAATGGCTAAAGGGCAGGCTTGAGACAGCCTCCTCCCTCCCACTCTCCCCACCCAATAAAGCCAGAGCCCTCTCCCTAGTCTTATGCTTCGTAGTGCTCCCTCCTGCAGCGGCAAACTTCCCTTCACGCATCCTTCCTCCCTCGCAGCACAGTTATGTCAGCTGCTCCTAGGGCGCCAGCGCCACAGCTGTCTGCTTTCAGGAGGCGGGCTGTCACATTGGGGGAGGGGCTTCGGTGGCTGCATGGTTCCGCTGCATTTGTAAGTCATCGGAAGCATCGAAAGGGCTTTGGGGCAGAGCAGAAACGCGGTCACACTAGGATGCGTGAGCTAAAGTGCTGCGGGACAATGGGTGGAAAAGGGGACATATGTAATACTTTTAACAATAAAGATTAAAAAAAATAATAAAGTGCTGCGGGAGAAGCAGAAGCCCTACCGGAGGCCTTTTTCCCGCCATTCATTCCTCCTAGATGTCCGCTCCGCCCCCTGCAGCTTCCTCTCCTGTAGCCAATGGGAACTGAGGGGCTTGAAGCCCCGCCCACGTGCGTCCTACCGTTGCGTGGCACGTCACAGGACGCCTGCGCAAGTGCGCGCGGAAAGCCGGAAGGCCCGGGCCAGGGGGACTTGGGGGAGTCCGGCCGCTCTCTGGTCCCCGGGTTGGGCGCCCGAAGGCCGGGCTAGGGGGACTTGGGGGAGTCCTGTCGCTCTCTGGTCCCCGGGTTGGGCGCGGGCTGGAAGATTTTAACGGTTTGGTGTCACAATGCTGCGCGTGGTGAGCTGGAACATTAATGGGATTCGGAGCCCTCTGCAAGCGGAGGAGCCCAACAGCTGTACCACCATGGCCATGGCGCGCGTTTTGGACAAGCTGGATGCTGACATCCTCTGTCTTCAGGAGACTAAAGTTACCAGTGAGCGTTCAAGAATCCAAGACCCCTACCATACTTTCCCCTTTCTGCTAACTTGCCCGCCGCTCCATATCATTTCACTCTTCTATTTCTGTCTTTAGACTCCTCCCCTTCTTAGACCCTCTCAGAATCCCAGTCCCCTCCCCTTGAAACTCCTATTTCTCAATTCAGCTAGATCTCCTAATTCCCAGTTCATCTCTCCTGTCCCCAGCAGACTACTTCGCTCCCCCCCTTGCAACCTCCATCCTCGCTCAGATCCTCTAATTCCCATTCATTCTCCTACCCCGGCTCAGCCCCCATAATTTTCTCCCCGCCCGCACACTGTCCATCTCCACTTTCAAGTCAGACTCCCCAATTCCTCCTCCCTGCCCCCAGCTCAGATCCTTTCATTCCCACCCCATTTTTGCTCCCAGATCGGACTCCCTTATTTCCTCCTTTTTATACCTTCTAATTAGATCCCTGGTTCCCCTTATCTCTCCTCCCATCTCCCTCCCCCCCCCAAGCTCAGAGCCTCATCATTTTTCCCTCATGTTCATCCCAAGCTTATTCCTCCCAATTCCCTCTCCTTCCCATCCATCTCCCATCCCCAGCTCACTCTCCTGATTCCTTCTCTGCCCCCCCCCCCACATTCTCTTCTGAGACTCCCTAACTGCTTTTCCTTCCATCTCCAGTTCAGATACTCTAATTCCCTCTCCTGCCCCCAGCCCAGATTCCCAGCTCCCTATTTCCCTCCCCCAGCTCCATCCTGTCACTTAGTCACCTCCCTCCTCCTACCTAGTTCTCCACCTCCCATTCCATAGTTCCCTCCTCCTAATTCCAGTATCAATTCCCTCTCTAGTCCTAACCTTTCGGGCTCCTCCTCTAATCATAGATACTTCCTTTTTATTTTCCAACTCTGACTCTGATGTGTACAAGGAATTGGCCTTACATCTGTAATTCCAGGCCTTTATGTGTCCTGCGTCTTAGTTTCATCTCTGACATAATCTTACATCTTTTTTCAGGGGATGCACTGACAGAGCCCCTGGCTATCATTGAGGGCTATAACTCCTATTTCAGCTTCAGCCGCAACCGGAGTGGCTATTCCGGTAAATGGGGGTTTTGGGGGACTTTAAATTGGTGATGAAAGCAGGTAGGGAGAAAGGGTTTTCCAATCTTTGATGAGAAGGTAATGAGAAACTTAGGCTTTTAGTCCATAGAACTAAAGCCACATAAAATTGTTTGTCAAATTTTATGTGTCAAATTATCCTATTGGACCTCAGAAGCACAATAGTGTGGTGGTTAATTGTATGAGCTCTGGAGCCAGATTACCTGGGTTTAAATCCTAGCTCATTTCCTAGCTCTACCCTTTGGCAAGTTGCTTAATCTCTTTATGCCTCAGCTAGAAAACGGGGATAATTCGTACCTCCTAAGGCAATTATAAGGATTACACAAATGAGTCCACGTGATAATGGTAGTAGCTAACACTAGTTGAACACTTATCATGTATTCATGTACAACACTTAGAATATTAGCTGCTGTACATGAAGAAATTGAGACTTCAGGGTTTGAGTAGAGTTTCCCCAGGCTCTAGGGAGCCATCAATGGCCTTTGAGTTGGTAGAAGCGTTGATACAACCACACTTGATGAAGATGACTCAGGTGACTTGTGTGGGGGCAACAGGTTGTTGGCTGCCAGGCCTGCTCAAAATACCCTGTCTGTCTCTAGGTGTAGCCACCTTCTGTAAGGACGGCGCCACCCCAGTGGCTGCTGAAGAAGGCCTGAGTGGCCTCCTTGCCCCTCAGAATGGGGACGTGGGTTGCTATGGAAACATGGATGAGTTCAGCCAAGAGGAGCTTCGGGCTCTGGATAATGAGGGCCGGGCCCTCCTCACTCAGCACAAGATCCGGTAATAGCCCACCTCCCCCCTCTCACTGAGCACTGCTGGTTCTATTCTACATGTGATTCTGAGGCTAGCCTTTATAAACAGGCATTCTCCATAGGAAACTTGCCAAACTTGCCTTTCCTGGACTCTGGTCTTGGCTGGGTTACTCACTGTGTGACACTGGGTAAATCGTGTTCCCTCTGAGCCTTGAGTCCCCCATCTCTACAGGAGGCAAAGCTGGGAGATTCAGCTCTCGTATTTCCACAGGCACAAATAAAAGCAATTTAGCGTAGGCTGAACTCATTGCCCCAGGGTGTTCTCATTCTGTGTGTCCTGTCTTTTTGACTGGCAGCACCATCCCTGCTTTACCTGGGTGTCAGCCTAGATGGCCCTCTCCTTGCCAAATCTCTCGTCAGTCCCCAAGTCCTGTGTGTGTCAGCTCGTTCATGTCTTTCTGTCCCCTTTCTTTGCGCCAATCCCACAGAGAACCATTAAGTGGAAGCCCCGAGGTGTGAGGAGGAGAGGCTTGAAAATGACTCATTTTCTTGGGGGGTTCTGTTCTCCCCAGCACCTGGGATGGTAAGGAGAAGATCTTGACCATAATCAACGTGTACTGCCCCCACGCGGACCCTGGGAGTCCTGAGCGGCTGACCTTTAAGATGCGCTTCTATCGCTTGCTGCAGATCCGAGCAGAAGCCCTCCTGGCAGCTGGCAGGTACTGCAGGCTTG